ACATACAGCCATTACGCGTTGTATAGTCGTAAAAGCCAGGGGGGGGGGGGCAACTGCCCCCCCTTGCCCCCCCAAACGACGCCCATGGTGTCGAGTTACTCGACACAGAACAGAATGCCACGACTTTTAACGTCAAACAACAGAAATTAAATTGTAATTATTTATTAGTTTTTATCCTTATGGGTGGGATTTTGCAGGGGTATCCTCATCTATAATTCAAATGACATCTGTAAGTTGCCTCGGAGAACCATGGAAAATAATAATAGTCATCCCTCACCGGGCACAAACAACTCTGCATTCAGAGTTGCAAGGATCACATATTTTTATTTATTATTATTAGGCTACAGAAAGGATGAGTTACAAAAAAGAAGCGATCCTTTTGGACTTCCAGAAAATCGTCGTGGAGAACTTTTTCAGCTGAATAAAGAGAACTTATCAATGTTTATAATATGTAGCATTTTGTATAATAAATAGTCAATTCATTGATATTCTAAGGATATAAAAGACCTCTGTTGCACGATAGGTTATCCATAAAAGGAATTGCCAGAGACATAGGTATGCCCTGGAAACTAAATTCCTTTCTTCCCTAAAATTTTAAACCACAGGCTTATTATTTAACGTCATTGACAGGTCATACCTAATGTCAGAATAATCCAACTTTAACGATTTGATATCGAATCGACTACTCGTTAACATGGGCGAAGTTATGTCATCAGATCTGGGGGGGCTAAAGCCCTAACCCTAGTCATATAATATATAATACTCGATATAATAGTTCTAGAGGTATACTGAAGTTAAGTAAAAAAATTCTGGCGAAACTATGAAAATTAATAAAATACCATATATAAGTGAAAAAACTGAATAATTTTCATTTTCATGACAATAATTTTCATCACAAAAATTTCCCTAATTTTCGCAACAAGAGTAGATATGGACAATCCACTCGAGTTGTGCAGTATATTTTTTCTACGAACTACTAACGAAAATCTACAAATTTAAAAAATTATTTTAGATTAAGACAAAATAAGCCATTTTAAAATAATTTATAAATTTTATTAATTTATAAAATAAAAAACATAAAAAAAAATTAGCCCCTATAGTCCAGATTCGAACCCAGGCTATTCGCGTGGAAGGCAAATGCTCTGTCCTCAGCTCCACCGCCACTTTTAGGTTTTTAATTTTAATAAATTAGTATCATACAATTTGATTAAAATTTACTTTTTTAAATGTGGCCCAAATAAAATTAAAATGTTATTTTTTATCGATTATGAACAAAAATAACTAATTTTAACGTATATGTAATCTTAATGACTAAAAAATATACTGACAGTTTGTCAGAATTTAAAATTTTAAAAATAATAGTAGTTGGATGTCCAAAATATGAACTGGGATTGCTATGTTATGTTATGTTGGGAATGGGGTGTTAATACACTGCGACCTAAAATATCTATTGTGCCCCCTTCTGTCGCTAATGCAGCAAGGAAATGTCTCAGTGCCTATAACGACCCTTTCAATTATATCTTCTCAAGGAAGTGTAGGATTTGGAGTGGCTTCAAGTTTCTATTTGATATGCTCCTAGGTATAGTACCCTTGGATTCTGGAGTGCTACACATTCAGAATGTAAATGAAGGTTTCGTCCTTCTCCTCACAGAATCTTCACTCACTATTTTCTACTACTCTCAGTTTACTAAGGTGTCCTTTTAGTTGGCAATGCCCAGTAAGGATCCCTGTTACAAGTGTCCTCAGTACTAGAAAAATGTATATTATGATAACAGCTTAAAATACAATCTGGCTAATGTGGAATACCCCGAAAGCCTTGCCAAACTTGTCTAATGATCGTCAGGCGCGCTAAATTCTGCACGTTCAATTACTATTCCTCTCATCGTTTAACTACCTGGCTTGTCAGGTCCGACCGAAATACGGTTTTATAACCGAAACCCAATTTCGGCTCCTTTCTTAGTTTCGGTCGAAACCGAAACAGAAATAAGAACTTTCTTTTAAGGCAATCTCTTATTGAAATTTGCAATATCTTTGCTTAAGACTAATTAACTCGTATTATAAATTTTAGCTACATTTACTTATTACCTATTTATTTATGTGATCCAAAGAAGCCATTAATAAATTTATTGACATTGTTTTTTTTTATTACTTTTGAAACTAAAAAAAAAAAATCTGATGTGTCCAACACATGACTTTCCTATCTAGTTATTATAGGCTTTTTCCGGTTATTTTGTACAACCTATTGCAGCATCTCTATAAATGTTTAGAGGATAAACTAAATATATACATTGTCCACATACATCTACCTCGAAACATTTTTCTATAGATATTCATGGAAAACGAAAATACTGAAAAATTTAAATTTCCTACAATTTTTTCATTACGGTCCATTTTATAAAAATCATGTATAAACAAAAATTATAGAGATCGATATCGCAAACAACTTTTATTTCAAAAACTTTCATAAAAATCAGAATTTTGCACATTTTTATTTGAACAATTTTTTTCTCCAAACATTAATAACAGATATATTCCATAAAATATAAAAGTGGCCTCCCATAAAGTACCCCCCCCAGATGTTCCGACTATGTCCAAAATCTAATCATTTCACGTCAGGCCGAAATAAACCTTAAGTTTAAAATTTAATGTTTTTTCTTTATCCGTTTTTGAGTTTTCTTCAAAATTCGAAATTTACACATTTTCTCAAATATCTCGAATACGGTCCATTTTAGAGAAATTATGTATAGAATAAAAATTAAAGAGAATTATATTACAAACAACTTTTATTTAAACAATTTTTATAAAAAATTATTTTTTTTACATTTTGTCAAATTTCTGGAATACGGACCATTTTAGGAAAATTTTGCATAAAACAAAAATTATAGATAATTATATTAGAAGTAACTTTTATTTGAAGAATTTTCTTCTCCAAAAGTAAATAACAGATATATTCCATAAAATATGAAAATGACCACCTATAAAGTACCCCCCCAGATGTTCCGACTCTGCCCAAAATCTAATCAGCTCATTGGACGCTGAAACAAAGCTTAAGTTTAAAATTTGGTGTTTTTCTCTGTATCGGTTCATGAGTTATGCGTTATACAGACACACACACACACACAGACACACACACACACACACACACACACACACACACACACAGACAGACATCATCGCGAAAATAGTCAAAACGGATTCAGGTGACCTCAAAACGTAAAAATCCGTCGAAAACTCGAGGTCGAAAAAAATCATGATTCCTATACTTTCCTTATATCTGTATAGTGTATACAGATAGGAAAGTAATAAGTGAATTACAAAGTAGCAATCATTTCTGCATCTGTCTCTAGATTTTTTGTAACAAAAAATAGTATTATGAAGGGAATTATATATAATGTAATTTTTATTTAAAAAAAAAACAAATTTAGATAATTAAATATGTTTGTTACTTATAATTAAATTAATATTCATAAGTAAACAGTCTAACGTTGTAGGCTAGAAATAATATTTTTTCCACGTTTTACCTAAAAAAATGCTCCTTTGATACGAATAAATTAGGCCAGGAGCACTGAAGACTGTTCACTTGAAACAAAGCAGAGAAGTACGTGCACTGTGTAGGAATGGCACCCGGCACAGTCGCCATTGTGCCGGACACAACCAAGTGTGATACGAAAACTTTCGAAAGTAGTTTCGTAGTTGGCTGTAGTTTCGGCCAGTTTTCCGCCGAAACTTATTTTAAGCCGAAGTTGGCCAAAACGGTAACCGAACCTTCGGCCGGACACTACTTATGAGTCTGGCAGGCCTTCGTGATTTTAATTGTCAGTCAGACCTATATTTTCACTTAGAATACCAATAGTGCCTAAATTATTTCCGAAAATTTTTTCGAACTTACGAATATTTTGAAATTTATCGAAGACGATTGATATTTTTCTTAAAATATGCGTGAGTGAGCAAAAATTTACTGATAATAATTTAGGCACCAGTAGTAGGTATTGGGTAAGAAAATTTTACACCAAAATATCCAAATTTCAAAACTTGACAGACATACATTAAAACGACTAAAATCAAATTTTCAAAGCTGGCCATAGAACAACATATAAAACATATGCATAAAAGAGCTTCTCAACTGTCAAAAAAATTTTCAGTATAATTTCGTTCAGGGTACCCACCAAAAGAAAAATTTCTGGAAATTTTTCATGGAAGTGTTTGAAAATAACGGTATTTGATCTGCTACAAAATAGAGCTGTAAAATTATAATATAATCTATCACATGACAAATTTTCAAACCCGGGAAAATAAAAGCAAACATATTATATTTTTTCGATTTTGAAGATATTACCAGACTCATTTGCCAATTTCATAAATCAGCCAGACTTATTATTATTAACAGTTCATGATTGTATCAATTTATATGCTAAATTTTCTGCCACACTCACTTTCCACTATCTGAGATATTCCAAACTGCTATTTTTATAAGCTTTAATTCTAGTTTAGTAAATGTAAAATATTTATGACTGGGAAAATAAGTGAACAGTTTATTTTCATATACACCGATTGGAAAAATGAGTACGAGTAAAATTCACTGCCTCCTGAACTAAATGTAAAATTTCAGAATCAATCAAATGGCACGATTTTTATTTATTTATTAATTTCTGTTCTGAAATCTGAAATGTGTGGATAGATGTGCGATAAATGTTCGAATTATTTTTGGGGGGGCTAATTTGGTTTTTGGGGGGGCTTAGCCCCCCCCCTAACTTCGCCCATGCTCGTTAAACGGAATTGCTATTATGGAGTTTGATATCAAATTCGAGTCGAATCGTGAAACGGAATCCCACCCCTGTCTGTTACTCTGTTGCAACGAAAATCCGATACTCGTGGTTCTTCACCCTCGCGTTCAGAATTTTGCTCTCTTATCGAATTTTCATTTCCACCTTGTTACATAATAAACTATTACGTTTTCCATTTCAAAGATACCACTATATAGGTACATTTTTTAATTTCAGATTGTTTGGTGGTAGCTGAAATGGAAACTAAAAGAAATAAAGTTCGTACATATTGTATAAATCGAGCAAAATATAGAGAAATAGTAGAAATGTCCAATTCTACCGAACATCTTAAAAATGATATTGATTTAGAACTAGAAGTCAATGATATCAACGACGTAAATGAAAATTGTTTGTCTACAAATGAATTAGAAAATTCACTTGAAGACTTATGGGAATTCGATGATAGTTTAATCCCAGAACAAAGGAAAAAATTGACAAAAAAGACAAACCCGAAAACGAGCCAAACAAAAGAATTAAACGAATTAAAGGCTGCTAAGAAAAAGAAATTGATAAAACTAATTACTAACGGTAATGTTCATAAATTAATGATGTTATTATACGAACTTATAAATTTAACAAAACAGAGAGATGAAATTGATACAAATTTTTGCGAATTGGTTAATAAAAAAGTAGATGATCACTCTAATACATTACTACATATAGCAGCGTTAAAAGAACAAACGGATGTGATTACGTTTTTATTACAATTCGACGCTAACCCCTGCTTAAAAAATAAATATCAACAAACTGCTTATACGTGTACCCAAAGCATAAAAGTTAGAGAGATTTTAAGACAATTCGCTAGAAATAACCCAAACAAATTTAATTATAATATTGTAAGTATATCACTTAAGGTCATTACAGAACCCCCTTATAATTTTCGGACAAGGTTATCTCAAAAAGTAATTTTTCTTTTTAAATTAAAAGTTTGGCAAAATATATTAGGCAATAATTTTTAGAATATGCATATATTTTAAAGTTTTAATTCCTTTCAGTTTCCGAGAAAAAAAATCAAAGGGCTTTAAATTTTGAAATATAATGAAAATAAATGCATTTCTCAACAGCACTATTCCTAATATAATACCCAAATTTGAGCTCTAATGTCTTGTTAATGATTTTTTAAAATTCACCAAAATTAGTGGTGGCTAAAACGCCTCGTTAAGTGGACTGGAAACTATACAGACAAACCCTTGACATAGGGGGTTATGATTGACAACCTGTGTTATGTTTAACAGGTCTGTTATTTTATGAACACACAGAAATTACAACCTGTTCACAAATAACATATCTGTTAAAAATAACATTACTTGTCCATCATAACCCCGAAAAACATTGTAATAAATAACAACATTAATGACGCACTTACATTAGACAGTGAAATACTAAACATTACGACAGTAATTATCAAGGCAAGAGATGCCTAAACAAAAACGCACGGACTGCACCAAGACAACTTCCCACAAATCATCCTTGACCTTATTGCCAACAAAAACTACATACGACGACGTTGGCAACAACATAGACAAGATGATGACAGGGTTCGACTCCACGACATCGGAAAACACATAAACAAACTTATCAACGAACATCGAAACCTTAAGTGGAGAAAAACCCTCGAAACAATCAACCCACAGGACAACTCAGTGTGGAAAATTGCGAAGAGCTTCACCAAGCCTCACGCGCAACTTCCCACACTGAAGTACGACGACAAAGTGTGCTCCACCGATAAACAAAAGGGAGAAGCGTTCGGTGATCTTTTCCAAAACAATTTTGATGACAGTATTGCAATTAATACTGAACAGCAAGAAATAGAAAACACAACGACATAAAAATCATGAACAGGGATACAGTACCCGGAAAACTCCTTACTTCTCCTCAAGAAATTAGAGATGTGGTTAAGAGATTACATAACAGGAAGGCCCCGGGACCTGATTGCATAAGTAACAATCTCATCAAAAAATTTACATTAAAAGCATATGTGCAGTTGCACTACATTACCAATGCAGTATTTAAACTCCAATACTACCCCCCGAAACTTAAAGTCGCTAATGTCATCCCTATACTAAAACAGGGTAAAAATGCTAGGGCTGTTGAGAGCTATCGTCCCATCTCTCTACTTAACGGCATAGCCAAAATAATAGACCGCATAATATTAAAAAGACTACACACACACGAAATAGAAAACCCGATTATACCGTCAGAACAATACGGGTTCAGGGCTGGTCACAGCACCGTGGCACAAGTAATTAGAATTGCTAACCACGTCAAAAAAGCGTTTAATAATAACCAACAAACCGTACTGGTGGCACTAGACGCTGCAAAAGCCTTTACGGTTTGGACTGACGTTTTAATCTATAAAATGTTTGTGAAGGATTACCCTGTATACCTCGTGAAAACAATTTTAAGCTACTTACAAAACAGAACATATCACATTAAAATAAACGAAACCATAACAGGACCATGCACTGCCAGAGCGGGAGTACCCCAGGGTTCGGTACTCTCGCCCCACCTGTATACCATCATGACCCATGATATAACCATGGGACTTAATGGTATTCAGACGGCGCTGTACGCCAATGACACCTGCATTTTTAAATCATCTGCATCGGCAGAAATAGCTATGAGAAGACTGGAGATTCATACAAATAGAACGCTAGTCCCTTTTCTAGACAAAAACAAAATTAAAATAAACCCGCAGAAAACAAAAGCGGTTTTATTAAGCAAAATAAGAACTAATAAAATAATTACTGATCTGAATGTACAACAAAATATAATACCCACGGCTAATCATTTAAAATATCTCGGTATTACCACAGCTTATACAATACAGCTAAAACACTCTCTTGGCGGCAACGGTTTGCGTCGATTTCGTCGCGCATCGCTTAAGCTCCGCCTTCGAAGGGAAAAGACGGTTTTGGCGTTCAGAAGCGTACTTAGGCAAGGTGTTGAGTCGTGCGTATAATTTCGTTGATTTTGTTTGAGTTAAAGGTACTGTTATTATTTTGGTGACTCTTTAGCTGTGAGTAGAATGAGTTTGTGCAGTCAAAAGCTGTTTTAATAAGGGTTATACCTGCAAGAAAACATTCTTTAGTTTTCCCAAGGACCCAAACCGATAAGTACTACATTATAAGAAATTTTCATTGTTAAAAATATAATTTATACAGGGTGTCTCATTAGTGCGTTATTGTTCATTATTTTGTTGTAGACACGCAAGAAAGTTTTAAATAAAAGTTATATGGATTTGAAAAATACCTACATATTTTAAAAATATCTTTGGATATACAGGGTGTCACGTTTTTGCCTGGAAAATTAAAATGTATGTTTTTTAAATGGAACACCTTGTATTTTATTTTATGATGAAATTATTAACACCCTAAATTATTGTAAAGACGAATTGCTACAGAAAATTTTTATCAGGTATGTGTGTGGTTGCCTTTTAATAAAAGCCTTGCGGATCCACTCCTGCGATACCTGTCTTAAATATAACAAAGATCACGTTGAATTAGACGATTTTTCTTTTTATTGCTTTTAAAAGGCATATGATAACGCCAATTCAGATACATTTGGAAATCTGCAACTGTCAAATGATGAATTTGTAGAACTAATATTCAATATTGAAAAGATATTTTAAAATAATTTTGAAGAATTGGCTACAAAAAATAACATTTGTACCACACTTTTAGAATTAATTAACCCAATACCCTTTAGTCATCCATGCTAACGTTTTCCAAAAGAATAACTTATTTTATTGTATGTTTAATCTCAATAACTAAAAAATATACTGACAATTAGTTTGACAGAATTGTCATTTATTTAAAATTTTAAAAATAATAGTAGTCGGTTGATCAAAATATGAACGGTGATTGGCGAATTTATTTTTTTTTGCAGTGTTCTCACTACCTAGAATGGATATGAAATATATTCGTTCAATTGAAGGCAATAGCATACTTTTTCGTTTTGTAATCTGTGCATGGATATTAGCCAATCTACGCACATACTACAAAACGAAAAATTATGTTATTGCGTTCAACTACGAATATATTTCATATCCATTTTAGGTAGTGAGAACACTTTAACAAAATTAAATCTACAAATCACAGTTCATATTTTGGTCACCCAACTCCTATTATTTAAAAATTTTTAAATAAGTGATAATTCTGTTAAACTAATTGTCAATATATATTTTAGTTATTGATATTAAATATACATTAAAATTTTTGTGTAGACTTGATAAATAATAGCATTTTTGTTTTTATTATGTCCACATTTAAAAAAAATTAATTTTAATCAAACTACATGATACTAATTTAATTGCGAGTATTAAAACTAAAGTCCTGAAAGTTTCGGTGAAGATGAGGACAGAACATCTGCCTTCCATGCGAAAAGCCCGGGATCGAATCTAGGCCGAGGACTAATTAATTTTTCATGTTTATTTTATTTTATAAATTAGTCAACTTCGTAAATTATTTTAAAATTAGTTATTTTGTCTAAATAACCTAAAATAATTTTTTAAATTTGTAGATTTTCGTTAGTGGGTCGTAGAAAAAATATACTGACCATATCGAGTGGATTGTTCATATTACAATCAGACGATTGAGTACTCCGCCTACGACGTCGTGCTCAAACTTCGTCTTTGTGTGATATGGCTATCATATCCACCCTTGTTAAACAAACTACAATTTATTTGTTTTCTTGGTTTAAGTTTTACATCAGAAATAAGAACTAAATTAATTTACTTTTCAAGTTTTCTTGTAAAAATCGATATTACTTTCTCCAAGTACAAATTTAGTACCTACCTAAAATAAGTACTAATTATGTAATATCGTGTAATATTGTAATTCAAATTTCACATTACTATAAAGTTTCAAAATTCCCTACTTCGGTATGGTCAGATAAAAATTGAATATATTATATTAATAAAAACTGTCAAAGTATTACTTCTACAAATCTGTATTTCAATTAATAAGAATACATCTAAATATAACCAATATTGTTAAAATAAAAGCACAAATTCTTTATAATTCCAAAATACCATAGAGTTCCAAGACCTCAGTCGAAGCATTCGTTTATCTAGGTATAAACCCTTTGCGCGAAGAGTAACACTTGCCAGAGACACGGGGCACCACTTGATTTGCATCCACGAGCGTGACACATTTCTTTAACAATTGAAGCCCTTGGTGTAAAAAGGATCCAAGTCACAATTTGTCGTGAAGTGACTGTTTTAGCTCAAAACATTTGTTAACGAGGATTTTACTAGCCACATACAAATTATTTTACCTCTAATCCGAAAGATGTGCTATTTTTCGTAATATTTATATTTAAATAATTTTTTTAATTATATTTGACAGATTTAAAACAAATTAAAAATTTAATTTCCCAAAACTTACTTAACATGGCATGTAACCAACCTTATTACGTCAAGGTTTTCAATTTTTTCAATAATAAAAAAATTGCTTAATCCGGGCCCGACTTTTCCCTTTAATCTAACAGAGATAGCACCATTCCGTCTTGCTTGGTTCTCGACCGCCAGATCAAAGACGCCGACACGGAGTTGTGGAGCTGTATTGTAAAGGCTGTGGTATTACACTTGACAAGGGACTAACGTTCAAAAACCACGTAGCAGAACGAGCTAACAAAGCTACTGCTATGTTACGCATAATGTACCCTATGTTACATAGACGTAGCGGAGTTACTCGGGAAAATAAATTATTGCTTTATAAGCAAATCATAAGGCCTATACTAACGTATGGATCTCCAGTTTTCTGCTCTATAGCGG